ACTTATGGTATCATTGTAGCGGAATTTCTCATAATAAAGCATACATTAACTAAATCATTTAAACTTCAAATTTACTTTATAGCATAATCAAACTCATAAATGAAATATCCTCAAAATATTGAAAAATCAAACATGAGAGTACACATCAAGTCTCTGACGAAAAGATTTTACAAAACTCGCAAACCTTTCACAGTGTTACATACCAGAGCACATAAACTAAAATGCATAAGTAAAAAGGAAGAAACAAACTATCGCCATCCTCCAACTCTAAGCAGCTACTTAGTTACCTGCTTATTTCTATTCTGAAGAGGAGTACATGCCACATTAACAAAAAAAGGGTGATAAATCACAAACAATAATAGCAGGCATATACTATAAGGTAGTATATGAAAAACAACATGTTCTACACAATCTCATTCACAGTATATCACAATACATTTTCACACTCATACTCGTCAACCAATCACAACTAAACAAATATGCATATGCATGTGGTATGAACTCAATATTTGGTTTTCTCTAGAACCGAATCTCCTCTCTTAACCCATGAGCCTCCTTTATGGACTTGGGACAAGCCACTAGTCCCCTCTTTGAACTAGCAGACATGTCTCTTGACGCAACTCAGTGATGCATACTCATACACATCAAATCAATTAGTTAAGACCCCTCTCTAATCTTAACATAATACAATGACAACTGAAGTAATCCCCTATCTGAATTACCACACCGCAATAATTTGCATATGCACAACATCATATAATTCAGTGCAACTCAAGTATACAATCAATCTCCTCAATTAGATCATTACTCATACATGTGGGGTCGACTCTAATCATGTATGGGTCGACCCATATTGTGTAATTTTTAAAAGTAACACTTCATGTTGGTTTAGGGTCGACTCCAAATACGTATGTATCGACCTATACTGTTGTTCTTGCCTATAAATCAGTTTTTAGCATATTTTAAACATCACTTAGTGATGATAAACCACCCAAATACTTCTTGGCCCAAAAATAACTTATTTCAAACATTTGTTTTCTCATAATCAAACCCCACTCTTATTAAGCCCTAATTATATTAATCAACACACCAGTTGACCACCGATCCACCAAATACTCATGTCTCTAAAATCATAAACATTGAAACAATGGTGGAAACACATATATACATAATACAAGATTTCAAACATCAATTCACATCAATATAATCAGCAGAATATCACTCCTCTAGAATACACATAGAAATTATCACAATCATCATCTTTATTGGATGTTAAGGACTCTTCTACCCTACCCCTCATGCATAAGCCTTTATTGAAGGTTATCCCCCCCCCCCCCCCCCCCAACTTACCTTAGATTTTTTCATCAAAATTTTCAAAGCTTGCATCTTCCTCTTTCCCCCAAATTTTGTTTTCACGTAGAAAAACTCTCACCACTTCTTACTAACCTTTTTATTAGTAACTTAATCCCTCAATTAGATACTTCCAGCATTACCCTCACTTATCCTCATATTCACCAAAATGCACTTATCATCTCTAATTTTGTTTTAATAAAAATAATACTAATACTCTTTATTTTCTATTTTCTTATAATAATTAAATAATTCAAATAAAATGCTATTATTTGATTTTTAAAAATAGACTCTAATAATTCTATCTCACCTCTACCAATCTCTAATCACTCTCCGCACTCTCACCTTAAGGTCACACACCCCTGACACCCTTATTAATTCAGTTATCACACATAATAATTAAATTAAATCATGATAATTCAAATAATTTGATAAATCAAGAAGTGGGGTGTTACAAAGATGACTTATTCGGTCGGTTTTTCATCTTTGAAATCCAAAAAAGAGGAATGTTACATGGGATTTAGAAATGTGCAAGACTATGTTAAAGGATCGGAAAATATGCCACAAGTCGTAATCACACATCGCAACACCACACAGATGAATTCGGTTGTAATGGTGTTCCCTACATCATCTGTATTACTTTGTAAGTATCGCATAACCAAAAATGTGAGAAGTCGAGTAAAACATGTGGTTGGCACGAAACAAGTCAAACGTGGTGCATGAAATTCTATAATAAATTCTTCCACTAAAGAATTATACGTCGAATATGTTCTATATTTTAGGAGTGTGTGTGTGCGATATATTCAGACTTGCTTAAATATGTTGAGGGCACTATTCTGGATCAGGTTAAAGAGAAGATTATTTGTGCATGGACTGATCAGGTACGATATTTGGCAATACAACAACTAACATGGTTGAATGTGCACATGCTAGACTGAAGAATTGGTTGGAAAACAGTAAAGGTTATTTTTGTAGAGATTAGGAGGTCTGGAACGAAATGCTCTGAAACCAACATAATGAGATACATACATCTTTTGTTCGCATTATTATTGTGAGAACACCTATCAAAGACAACATTCTTTATTCACAGTTAGTTGTCAATGTATCTCGGACGACTTTGAATTTTATTTTTCATGAAGTCAAGCGAGCAGATAAAACATATTCATATAGATCAAAGTGTAGATGTACACTTTACGTCTTCCTTGTGCTTGTTTAATTTCAAAGAAAATGAAACTTGAAAACCCAATACGTATGAATGAAGTTTGCATTCATTGCAAAAGGCTCGATTTTGATGATGATGTTGTGATTAAGGATAACAAATAAAAATATCTATCATGATCGAACAGAAAATGATCCAAGAGAGATTCATAAAAGATGACATAATGACATTGCACATCAAAGGGCAACTGGAGAAGAGTATCTATCCAGAAACAACGAATTTGAAACCACCGTCAAAACAGGTTAAAACAAAGGGTATCCCTAAAAGGGTCAACCCGACACAAAATGACAACTCCACGAGATAGTCTCTACATGTTAACTCATACTTTTCAGTTTCTCCGACTCCAAAATTCCAAAAAAGTGTTTTCAAGGGTTCTCGTGTTAGAAAATCATCTCCCTCACCACCATTACCAAAAATCATCCACATTGAAAAGACATCACTTTTTATGCACAAATACATTAAACGAATTATAAATGTCGAAGGTGACACCAACTGTGGTTTTCGAGTTATTTCAGATTTGCTCGATAAAAAAAGGACGACTACCAATTTATTCGTCATCATTTTATACAAGAGATGAAGACACATAAGGATTCATACACAATGCTATATGGGAACAAAGTAAATTACAATGCAACTCTCAATGCTCTAGTTCCTTGTCTTATGAGTTCGGCTTCATTTGAAAAATTGACGTGCTTTCCGAAAATAGGACACCTTATAGCAAATGCTTATGATAATGTGTATTTTACTTTAACACGATATAGTTTCTCAGAAATATTATTTCCGCTTAGAAGAAAGTCACCTCAAAATCCATCTGAACCCATCATTTGTATTGGTTGGCTGTCAAAAAAATAACATTTTGTTCAGGTTTATGTGGACAACACATTTCACTTAAGATGCTGAAACTTGATCGAATCACTTTCTAGAAAGGATGGAAAAGTTTACCAAGTTGAGTGACATTGAAAAAGAAGCAAATAAGAAAAGATCGAAGAATTAACCACCAATAAATTTTGACAGTGACATATGTTTTGATGCATTTTAGTTGTAATCTAACAATGTAACAGGTTTATTGTATATAAAGTACTTCATAATATTATAAAATTTAATGGTATTTTTTAGATAATTCTTGTATTTTAAAATTATGCTCTGCATAATACCTTCGACTTTGTTCTGCAGAGGATCATCCAGATATGCATTTCTGGACATAGGAGGTCATAGAGGTAGATTCCTATTTTTTGAAAAACAATGAAAAATTTGAAAATGTATCTCTGAATTCTATCCTAATTATATGATAATGTTTGTAAGGTCCTTATTGATCTACAATTTCTATTATAAATAGGATTTCTCTTTTCATTTTCTTTACAAATTTCTATTATAAATAGGATTTCTCTTTTCATTTTCTTTACAAAAATCAAAATGAAATCATATCTCCATCGTGCATTTGTGTATTAGAATGACGTAAATCCCCCACTTTAATTTAACATCTTCGTGGACATATTTTTCATCGATCTAAAATTTAAACTGAATACTCTATTATGAGAAGATATGGTTCCATGCTTGAACTCAAGACAAATGATGATTCAAAAGATATGTAAAGTACCTCTTACAATTACTAAACAAAAGGTATAATTGAAATGGATATGATATTTAAAGATCAGTCGAAAATATTATAAAAATATCACAACGTTCTAAACCACTTGTTTTTAATGCCATCAACTGAAGATATTATAAGAATAATGACATGTGATGTTAAATTTATGTGATACTAAATTTATGTGATGCTAAATTTATGTGATGTTTATTTTGATATTAATTTATATTAGTTTTCTATTTTGCCATTGTTTCTGCATGTTCATGTTTAAACTAACAGAATATATTTTAAAGATGCAACTCCGAAAAACTCACAAACTAATAAATTAAGGAAGGTTACAAAGACGCGTCTCCAAAGTAAACTTTTGTGCATACAAAAATCATCTCCAAATCATATTTTAATAGATCAAGGATTACTCTGCATTTTCGTCTCAGTTAAATGTGAAAAAGGTGCATTCTCCGGACGGGATGGGAGAGAACCCCTAAGGGTGAAAAGAGCAAAAACGTTCTAAAGTTAACAAAGTCAGTATTGTTCCACAGTAAATGAAATAATTCATAACTCACAAGAAAAACTGTGACTACCAAAATTTCAGCATTTCTAATCAACTTATACTATACCACACTAGAAAAAATTGATTTCGATATAAAGAAAATTTAATAAATCATGAAAATGATTTTGTATCCCTGATATGTTGTTACACAGGGACGACACTCATCTGTTGGCAGGCATAAATAAAGCTCACCTAAGGTCATGTTGGCCTTTGTGATTGTGCCATATTGTTCCTGCACTTCTAAAATCCCCTGATTAAATTACACTGCCAAAGCATTTTATAAGCAACAAACCTCAGTAGCTGGCCTCTGATCTAAATCTAAAATGTTTGCCCCGTTTTTTCTTATGTTTCTTGTGTACACCGTTTTCTGTCAGAGCACCATTCTCCTCATTCTTGATTTTCCGAGAATGCCCGTTTTCCTTTGGCTTCTTCTCACTATTATTCTCGTCCTTGGAGGCGGATTTTCTCTTTTTTCTGGAAGAATGTGCGCTGGGCTCTGCAATGGTGTTATCTCCGTCTCCTCGTGGTAGTGGTTCTTCCTCGTAATCCAACTGCCAATTGCACAACATATCATTCTCTCCGAACTGCTGTTGTACTGGCTCACCGGCACCGGGAAGCAAACTATTAAAAGTTATTTCTCCATTCGATCCCCCTTTACGCTCCATCAAGACAGGGTCTGGTCTAATTATAGTGCCAAGAATGCTCCTGTTAGGTCCTAAGCTCAGGATGACCTTGGGATTTGTCAGAGTCGTGAAAGCCATTAAAAATGCTGACCGAACCTGCAAGAATATAACAGCAATTGCGTTTAAGCCCCACTTTAAGCCTTAAGACAACATTTTCTAGAATATCATTTACTCAAGATACAAACAAACCTGGAAGTAATTGAAGGAGCTCTTCCCAATGTCATTCTCTGGAGTCTGATTCAGCCAGAAAATTCTAGTCAATCAACTATAGCTATGATATAAATTTATCTTGATGCATAAAATAATACAAGTCAATCCACTTCATATTATGAATTATTATATTAATAAAAAATTGCAGGACTGAAGAAAATAAAAAAGACCGATTATAGGATAATTTTCAACTGCTGCTAACTACTCATTCTGTTTCTTGCCTTATTGGTGGTAGGCAAATACCAGTTTTGATCAATTTTTTGATAATATTCAGCATTTGCTCCCAAAAAAAAAATATGGATCAGAAAGAAGTCAGCGCATTTTATTCCCACCACCACCCACAAAATACATGCATTGATAAAAAAAATCCTAGTCCAGAGTTCAAACAATCTTGCAAATGATAAATGCAAATAAAAGATGGAGGTAAATCATGAAAGTCCATCTTTAAAAAAAGTCTACTTCCTCAGTTTAATTGATAGGCCCAACAATACAAAAAATTACTTTACATAGAGAAAAAGCTGTTAATCAAAGAGAACCTGTGGATCCTCAATGCCCAGAAGAAATGGCTTTCCTTTATTGTAAAACCTGAGATGAAAAGGAGGGAAAGTCATCAAGTTTTTAATTACACAGAAAAATTAAAATTCACATTTCTTTGCAAATATATCCAATTTCTTACCCTTTACTAATCTTACGGAAAAAGGTGCCAGCTCCATTACAAGATACACCGACATCTGAGGTATTCAATTTACGTCCATAAAAATCGAAAAAATGTACCTAATTCCCAAAGAAATAAAGAACACATTGTCAGAAGGAAAATTTTGATATATATCTTACTGTACAGCCTAAATAGGTAACATCCAAACAAAGTACAGGATTATTTCAGAAGTTCCCTTTTTTCAAAACAGTATAAATCATAAAAACAATATCACGGGGGTGTTAGGATGAGGTAAGGAATTAGTTAAGGGAGATATTAGATGATGGGATAGTTATCATGTATAAATAGGGAGGTTTTGTATGGGGGAGAGAAAGGATTTTTTATTAGTTAAAATTTGATGAATACAACAATGACTCTATTGTAGAGGGGAAAACCCTTGGAGTTCTCTCCTGCTCTCTTGTAATTCCTTCTCTACGCAAAACCTCCCTATTTATACATGATAATCCTGACTACCCCATTAACTAATAACTTCCCAAACAAATTTCTTACTTCTTATCCTAACACATGGACTCTTGACTACATGGCATTTAAGAAACAAAAATGTAAGACAATTGTTTAGAATACACTCACCAAAAGGAGCCCTAAGTTGTGCTCTGTAGAAGTTTGGCTCTGTCGGACATTCTGAAGCATGCAATGGCCAAATATTAAAGATGACATAGGTGAAAAGAAGTGTGTTGAACTTTATGCAAAGCCAAATATTTTACAGCACATTAGAAAAAGAAAAGGAAATTTAAACGATCCATTTTTGTTGATATGCAAGTAGATCATATGTAGAATAATGAAGCCTTATGATGAAGGCAGAGTAAATAAGCACATTTAAGAATTGCTCACCCGTAACACTGCCATCAGCATGGTAAGGAGAGCATAGGAACCAATCCCACCAGAATACACCTGCATACTTTACAAGAGTCTTCCATTAGGCAGACAGGAACCCAGATAATTACAAGAGATACAACATATTCAAAAAAAAAACATACCTCGTTAAGTTCTCTTTGTTGTAAAAATACTTTCAAAATCAAACACAACGGCCGTAGTTGAGGCCACTTAGCCACTGCTTCCTGCAAATTCAATGGTTCAGCCATGAAGAAGAATGTACATCATGTTCAATCCAACATTGAATCCTTAAGACATATATTGATTATTTTCCATTTTTATTCCTTTAAGAAAATAGGGCAGAAGAGAAATTTCTCAGAGTGCAGGTTTAGTTTAAAAAATGTTTGTATTTTTGGAGCTTCCTTTTACAAGTTTCTTATTGGAATTTTACTTTCATTGGTATTATGGATAATTTAAGTAGAATGCAGAAATAGGAACATATTGCCCACTAGAAGGCACACATTCAAGGTTTTGAAACAAAAATAATAGAATATTGAGTTTATAAAAATCAAAGTTAGAATACTCTAATCAAGCAAAATAACTTCATATATGATGGGATAGCGGTGCGTTATTGTATGATTCCAAGATGTTGTATTTGTTTATGTAATTTGAGTAAAAGAATATTCTAATCAAGCAAAAGAACACTCAGGAAATAATTCAAAAACTATATATTACATACTCAGATAATCTACACCAACTCTGAAATCAAAATTAGAAAATGCATCTTGGAACCAAGTAGTTGAAATAATAAAAGCAAACCTGAATATACTCGGCGGCCTTGGGTCCATTATCTATGTCAAAACTGAAAGAAAAAAGCATAATACAACACTAGATCAGTGATATTGAGTTTTTGACAGGAATAAAACATAACACTGAAGGAAGTTAAACTGGTTTTATGCAACAAAAAAAAAACAAAAAAAAAAGCACAACAATCTTATATGGTGATAATGCATCTAGTAATATAGTATACAAAGAATAATGTCACTGTAACTTGCAAGAATTGGTAGTGACCGCTAATATTGAAAATTAATAGTGTGTCGTATTATAGCCAATGTCCTATAAATTAAAAGCCATCATATATATTTTCATATGGTATTGCAAACCCCATTTCCCAGTAAATAGACAATAAATCAAAAGCCATCAGATATATACTTTATTAGTTTTAATTGAGGTTAATGAGGATATAGAAAATCCTTAAAAAATTAATCATATGCAAAGTTTCAAATTAAATAACTCATCCAACATCTAATATCATATACAACCAAATAAATTACCAGTAAGCTTAATCGTAATTAATGATGACATGTGAACATTATTAAGTGGAATACGCATATAGAAAGAAATCAAGAAGAAAAAATTAAACAACAAATCAAGGAATCAAAAATCAAAAGGAGAATGTCGTCAAACCTTATATCAAAGGAAAGACCACTCCTCTTTTCAACGAATTTAATAATTGGCACACGAGCCTTTCCAATAACCTAAGAAAGATTTACAACCAAAACGCCACAGTTATTACAATCTTTACAACACTTTTTATTGAAACAAAAACACTGATATTTGAGTAACCAGACAAGACCTGTATCTTTTTAGCCATGCTCCTTTGTGACAATGATTTAGAAATTGCATTCAAACCAATCTGAGGATTCGGTAAGCCTGATTTCAGAATCACAACCTGCAGCCAGAGGAATTAATAACAATGTACCTATCAATCAACCAGCCACATGTACAAGTTCATAAGAAAGGTCAAGTTCAGCATCACAATGTGAAAAAGATGACTTACATCAATATCACTAGTAGGAAGATACAGCCCTGTCCTGAAAGACCCAAAAACTTCAACCTAAAGGGAACAAAATCAAACTTTCATTGAAATATAAAACTAAGGCTCTGATTGAATGAATATCTTACTTAATTGTCTATAGCCTAAAAATCCTTATTATATAGTTGCTTATGTATAAGGTATTTCTAAAAGCCAAGATAAAATAATTTGAAAACAGCTTGTGTACATGCATAAGTTTTTTTCATAACCTCTCTCAACATTTGTCCCAAAAAGTCTTATTTGAGTTGACAATTTCAAATAAGCCAATCCGAAAAAGCCCGAAAGTGATAATGCAACAGCTAAATGATAACCATACCTGACAATGAGGCCATATATGCTTTATAACTTCAAACACAGATTCTATTGCTGAGTCACGTTTAGCTTTCTCTTCAGGAGTAGGTGACAAAAATTCACAAAAATCCACTATCTCTGAATATCAACAACCAAATTACAAAATTTTTTAGAAAAACAAAAAAGGGGGGTTTCAGCAAATTAGCAATGCACCAAAACAAAAACCAATGGGTAAATTAAATTAAATACCTTTATGAAGCTGAAGCATGGGGCTTCTGAATTTGCAGTTCCCACGAAACCAACCACTCTCTAGCGTCGGTTCGGGCCCAAGTACTGGCGTCTTCGGCTCAACTGGCGTAACAGGCTCGGGGAGGGCATCTTCGGCTTCTCCGGCAACATCGAGGGAGAAGAAATCTTGAGCGGTGGAATAAACCGAATTGACTTGAGGCGTGTTGAGAGAGATTTCGTTACGGAAAACGGAGTATTGTCCGTGGTTGTCAGAGTCTAGGGAATCATCAGCGGCGAGAGGAAGTGGAGAGAGAGCGGTGTAGAGAATGGTTTCGGGAATGGGGAGATTTTCTGGTTCAACCTCCATTGAAACGAAGGAGGTAGAAGAAGAAGAAGTAGAAAAGTGAAGAAGATTTGAAAATTGGGATTGAATTAGGGTTTATGTTGTAACGATGTAGCCACGGTTAGTATTTCCGAAAATTTATATAGTAATGGGTTTGTTTTTTTTTTTACTGAATAAGCGGTTATTAATATCTTAATTCAATTGATCTCGTCAGAAAAAAATCTTGATTCAATTGATTCTTTAGTTACATTATTCAATTGATTTTTGAATAAACATACTCTAACTAATTATTTTTTTTCTTATTTAGTACTTGTTAAGTCTTGTCGGTTATTTTCAAGTCAAAATTATATTGGATTGGATATTTGTAATTTTGTTTAAAAAAAGTGGACTAATTCGGGTGTGTTTGTCCATATTAATCAAACAGATATTTGTTTAATTTTTAAGGTATCACATTTATTTCTTTTTACAATAATTTGTAATTTTGTATAAAGATTATTAATAAAGTGATCGTAAATAACTTGAAAATCATTTGTATCACCTTTTTAAAAGGGTTTTGTATGAGGAAGTATTTAAGATAATATTGTGGTGACTGAGAAAATGATTCATAGCATGCATAAGATGAAAAGGAAAATAGGTTATTTTGTGACTAAAGTTGATTTAATTAAATAATGTGATGAATTAAAGTGGTATTTTAATGAAAATATTTTAAAGGAGATGAAATTTCTTTTGGAGATAATCAATGTTATTATGGTCTCTATTACAACTATAATTACTAATGTGAAATGAAATGGAATTAGATCAAAGTTTTTCAAAACTCGAAAAGGTATCAGACAAGGAAATTTTATTTCTCCGTACTTTTTCGTTATTTGTATGAATAATTTGTCTCATTATTTCTCATAGTATGGAGTAAGGCTTTTGGACAACTATGAAAAAAGGTAGAAATGATTTTGTCATATCTCACTTGATATTTGCAAATGATTTTTTAGTGTTTGATCAAGTTATAGAGATTCAAATGCAGTGTGTACTCGATATTGTTAGTAAATTTTTCCTATTGTTTGGTCATCAAGTGAGTATTGATAAAACAACCATTTTTTTCTATAAACACTTTAGTGTCTGTTCGACGTAAAATGACTTATATGTATGGCTTTCGTGAAACGCAATTGTTTAGCAAGTGTACGAGTGTCCCTCTCCTTGGAAGAGCACTAACAAGATCTTATTTTAATTATATCCTAGGCCAAATTAAGTTGAAGTCGACCTCTTGAAAAGCCTTTTTTTGCAAGTCAGATAACTCTCTTTAAAGTTGTTATTGAGGTCCTTCTTATCCATACTATGATGACTACTAGCATTCCTAAAGTTTGTTTGCATGAGATTTAAAAGTTACAACGTTATTTTGTCTAGGGAGATAGCGAGGAGAATAGAAAAGTTCATTCGCCGAATTGGGATGTGATGACGCTTCCAACGTTCTTAGAAGGATTGGGTATTAGATGGTTCAATGTTATGAATGATGTTTGTCTCTTGAAGTTTAGTTGGGTCATTCACATTAATAAATAATCTTTCTGTCGTGAAGCAATGCATAGAAGTATATGAGAAACAAGTTGGTTATGAGGATGTGATTGTTAAGGCAAATTTCAAACTGTGGAAGAATCTCGATAACTTGTGGCTTAATTTTGGTTTTAGTATTCTTTTATAGGAGATGGTGCCAACATATATGTTTGGTCTCATTGTTGGGTTAAACCAGGTATGAAGTTGATGAATATTAATACATATAGTGTTAATGAAGTTTGATTGGGTCATTTGCATTAATAAACAATCTCTTTATCGTGAAGTTATGCGTCGAAAATATATGAGGAACAAGTTGGTTATGGGGATGTGATTGTTAAGGCAAATTCTAGATTGTGGAAGAATATTGGTAACTTGTGGCCTAATTTTGCGTAGTTTGCATATTGGTTTATAGGAGATGGTGTCAATATATGTTTGGTTTCATTGTTGGGTTAAACCAGGTATGAAGTTAACGGATATTAATACATATATGTTTGGTCCTATTGGATTAACATGTGTAATACCCCAAATTTCGCCATAAGATTAGTCTATTCATCTCGCATTCCACTGCATTTTTGCGTTGCATGTAACCAGTTACTAACAAGTTTGTGTAGCCTGTTGATTTTGCAGGAAAAGTCACATTTGTGCACTTTGCCTTATGAGGGGCAGAATGGTCATCTTATTCGCAGTCGGCTGTCAGTTTATGAATTTTTGGCTATAGTCAGAAAATTTGAGCCATTTGATATTGTTGATGTGAATTGAGGCCGAATTTGTAATTGGAATTTAATCGTGAAGGATTTGAGCCGGTGGAATTAAATCAGTTCAATTTATTTGGATGAGGTTAATCGGAAGATGTTCAGTTGGATTCAGTCTGATAAATTTATCCGTTTGAATTACCGGAAGGATTAATCTGAGGTTGTATTGGAGACAAGGATTAGTCGGATGGTGTGGATTGACATTTCATGTTTCATAAAAAAAAAACTTAATTCTTTTTGTTTCATTTCATATTTCATATAAATTTTATTTTTTTGTTTCATTTCATTTTTAATAAAATTAATTACTTTTGTTTTATTTTCATTTTAATAAAGTTTCCTACTATTGTTGTTTCATTTCATTATAAATAAAAATTGTTTCATTTCACTTTATAAAAAAAAAGTGTATTATTATGTTAGTTTCATTTTTTATTTGGTTTGTTTGAGTTTTTTAATAAAAAAGTTTTATCATGTTAATATAAGAAAATTTTAGTTTTGTTTCATCATTTGCATATCAAATAATAATAATAATAATAATAATAATGATAATGATCTATTTTTTAAAATATCTTAAAATGAAGAAGTTTTATTAGAAAATAATAATAATTCTTTACAAAAAATAATAAATAAATAAATTTAAAAAAAAAATAAATTACATTTTTTTTCCTAAGTTTCTAAAATGCCTAACTACTCATCCGCTCCCGATTCTCGATTTTAAACTTCCGACTTTTCCCCGAACCTGCAAAGTCAAGAAAACAGATAATTTTATTGGTCAGAATTTTTATCCGACACCCTCAGAGCGTTGTCATCATCGGGTGCATCAGGAGGGTAACAGATTGCTCCGAAACTAACTCCTGACTTTATTTCCGACCAAAGGCAAAAATCGGCAACATCTGTTCTTATTTCCAGGCAACAGAGGGAGAGAGAGATAAAAAGTGCTTTTGAAAAAAGCTGGTTTGCAAAAAAGTGATTATCTTGAAAAAGTGCTTATTGAAAAAAGCACTTATTTGAAAATGTGATTTTTCCAGAAAACTGGTTTTGCCAAATGTGGCATTAACGCATTTTTCCAGAAAATCACAAAGTCGCGGATCAAACCATTCTTTCCTAAAAAATCTCTAATGAAACAAACAATTTTTCACTCAAAACAAAGTTCCAGAACCATCAACAAGTCAGACCGAGTTTCCAGCCACAATAAAACCGTAAAAATGCAAGGTTTCCAGCCAACAAAATTGTGGAACAAAAGCTCCAACGCAGCCTAAGCAAAACGCAACTCAAGCCAAAGCTTCAACCAATCCGCAACAAAAGCGTAACAAAATCAATAAGTTCCACAAAATTTGGCGAATCAAAGACCAAATCCATCATAAATCCGGGCCCAAATCTTCATCAAAGAATAATATAAAACGAACATCAGAAATCACGAATGGGGGGGGGGGGGCTTTTCAGAAGATCAAAGATCTTCATCATCAAAGTTGAAAGGAGAAGAGGATTTTACGAACCCAGAACCTCACATGCAAGGACAATAGGGGCGGAGGTTCAGAAAAACCAAGAAAGCTCATCTTCATCACCACCCGCGGCGGAAGCATCATCAACAACGGACGGCGGAAACACCATCATCATCCCTTAACAGGAGAGAGGCGTCGCCAACCGCCGTCGGCGGAGCAACCACCATAACCCACGACCTCCGCGAGCAAGGAAACGAAACCCACAGCTCAGTCCGTTCAAAACATCATCGTCGACCACACATCGAACATCACCGGCCACGAACGACGTCGTCGCGCGCCACCTTAAGTCGTCACCTTCTTAACTTTGTTTTTTGTTGATTCGTTGTTTCAGGTTCAAAGAGAATGAGAAGAGCCGCATGCAAATGAAAAGAGAAACGAAAAGCTTCAAGAACGGCCAACAATGGCGCGTCGGCGGCGGTACGAAAAAGAAGAAGAGGAAATAATAAAAACCTAGAATGGCCAACAGCAAAAAGCGTCCCAGCCTTTTAATTCTACCCTTTATAGTTTTTTTTCTATTTCATTATTTAGGTTGTTAGTTTCTTATTTTATTATTATATTGTTTATTATTTTATCGTTTGTTTAATAATCTTAATTAATGCATTTTAGATTAAGTTAGTTAATAATTTTCATTTAATAAACCTCAAAACCAAAACTAATGTCATTTTAAAAAGAAAAACAAAAAAAAAAACTTGAAAGCATTTTTTTTTAATGAAAACTTAATTCAAAAATATTGTTTTTTAGATTGAATTTTTTAATAAACTTAACGTTAAAATTAAATTTTCTTTCTTTCTCTTAATTAACATTAAAATTAAAACTTTTTTTCCCTAATTGTAACAAAATTAAAACAATTTTTAATTAAAATCATTAACCTTTTTAAAATCAAAGCACTCTGGAAATAAAAATCTTTTTCTTTTAATTAATTAAAACATTTTAAAACTAACTAAATTATTATGTCTTGCCATCTGTCATTTTTTCAGTTGTACCGTTGACAGTGTTTTACTTCTCATTTCATTGCATTCTTTACGTTCCGCTTCATTTTGGTTGAAATTGGGCGAGGACATCGTCGCTGTTATTATTCTTGCTTGTTTGTTTTGGGATTGTCACTCATGTGAGGCCATCATCGCACTTATTGTTCTTGTCTCTTATGTGTCAATTGTAATTTATGCGAGGCCATTGTTGCAGTTATTTATTCTTGCATTTTTGGGATTTGTAATTTACGCGAGTGATCGTC